ATGTTCTCTGTTATGCAAGAATATTTCAGAAGTAGATGAATATAAAACAAACATTGATCCTGAAGGTTTTTTTTTCTCTCATTAATAACAATACACTCTCTTCCATGAATAGTTACGCTCATACTTATTTTCACACTTTAATGTATCTTTACATGCCCATGCCTAAATATATGATGTATCACTCATTTGTGCTAGGTGTGAATTAACCATCTTGCCTGAAATTACCTAAAAAATTTACAACATTCTGAGCAGCAGGTGTTTGTCTTGTCATCACACCATTTATCAGCTACAGTATTTAATAATTTATAGATTTTCATTAATTTATTTTTCTTTCCTTTAAAAGGGGCATTTGTTTTCAAATAGTGCCATGAGCTCTAATTAATTAAACTAAGAATTAAACAACAAAGACCTGACAGGTGACCTCTCAAACAAAGGGAGAATGATTCCTTGAGCTTCTCAGATCTATATGGATTCTAGACCAAATCAGCTCCCTAAGTATCTTGTGTGGATGCTGGTCATATGTTTTAATGTATTGATGCCAAGGATATTACAGAATAAATATTATAGGGGAACCGCTCAATCCCTTGGATTGCACCAAGTGCTCATGGGTAATTAACTCGGCCTCTGTCCACTGAGTAAATGAATGCTAATCTTTCCCCCTGTACCGCTAATCCCACAAAACAACAACTGATATAAACATCCTAAGAACGGATTACAATTCACTTGTTTGTATATAACATAGCAATTTCAAACAAATACGGAGCAGTCTTCATGTGCCATGATTTGAAACATCGTGCGCTCTGTAATTTATACATCGTCGGAAAAATATGACGCGGAACTAACTCAAGTTGATGATGGCCAACAAGAAAAGGCAGCAGTCCACCGGATACATACGACCAGATTGTTGCTAAACGGTCTCGAAGAAAATCTGCCGACTTATTTGTCTGTCGGTCTATTGGCGGTACTGATCTCGTATATCGTAAACCTGAGAACGAAACTTCCTATGCACATTCTGTATACATACTACTCCTCCAGACTGCTAATATAACAAGTGTGAAAACACAAAGTCAAGGACTTCGGTTTTCATATTTCCGTCACAAATTGGTAAACAGAACGTGTATTTACTATTACCCTCAAATTTCCATATAATATTGACTAATTGGTAAAGGCGACAATAACAAAGTTTACTGTATATTATAAGTACAGGTTATTACACGGAAATATCAAAAACATTAGTAAAGAAAAGTCGCTGTGACATCACAGACTTATCTTGTAACCTGTTTACGACACTCGTGTGGAAAATCAAAATGTACAGCCTTGTCTTCCCTGAAGCCTAACCCATATGTACACGGGTGGTACCGGCTTGTATCTCATGTGAGATTTGAGTTCTTGTGATCTGGTGGGTGAACGTCGGGTTGACTTTACAGTCAAAATCAAATGAGCGGTGAGGGGGAGAAGAGCGTTCTGTCAAAACAATTTTACCGTAGACTCAATTTTAACAACCTATCTGCAGCGTTGTATTTATTATAAAATCGATGTTGTTTCAACCCTGTGTTACAACCAACAGGCAAAGCTGGCTGCTTGTGACGTGTTGTCTGGGTGCCGTTTCGTCCTACAGTCAAATACAGAAACAAAAACTGATTTATTTTCTTATGCCAAGACCTGGTCGTTCATGCATTTCAAGCATGGCGTATATACTTCTTGTACTATGTAATGTGTGCTGTGGAACCATCTGATTTCGCGGTTTTGAGCTGTCAAAAGTATTTCGCGAAAAATAAAACAAAGGGTAACACCATACGAAGCAGTCAGGCCAATGTCTTGTTGATATCCGAAACTTGGAACCTCTAACAGAACGGTTATTTCCTGTACGCCTACCAGTATTACACAACTACCATTTGCAGCTCATTGCAGTCTGACACTTATTCACTGTACCCCTTCCTTTTTCCAGACTGTCTAGAAAGTTATACAAAAAGTTTCATCCCTTAGAAAACACAAGTCTTTGCCATATGATCAAAGGAAAAATGTCCCCATAGTAGTAACCAGCATCGTTCTGGCGTTCCTAAAAATAAATTTAAAAAATGAACACTGCATTGCTTAGTAGCAAATAATCACGGTAATGCAATCCGATCACGCTGCGTTTCACAAACTCATCTGGTTGGGCTTTTCATGTATAAATGTTTTCAGTTGAAACGTGCCACGACCAGTGAAAATCACGAGTTTAAAATGATGGCTAATGTATGCAAAATACCTATCAATCACAGTTTGAGTAAACGAAAATGTAAATTCCCTAGATGTTTATTCAATCTACAAAGCTTGTTGGTTTACAAACAGCCCCGACAAACAGCATTATCGTTACGTAGTTTGTCTATGTCTAACCATGGAGCTAAAAAAAGATTTTAGCTCCATGGTCTAACCATCGGTAACACTGGGGCATGACGAGGTAAGACAGTAAACAATGTCATTACGGGCTTTCAATTAAAACCACGCAAAAATTTCCCGTTGGAATGTAAAACACAATACCCCAGTCAAAATAACACTCACTCCTGACCCACAATCTTACGAATTTTACCGTAGTCATTGACGCCTATTCAAGAGTACGATGTTTATTGTGGTTAGCGTGAATAGGTAAAGCTTCACTTTGACAATGAGCTGTTATCACCGTAAAAATGTTAAATTAGTCTTCAAATAGTCAGTTTATCATCGAAAACAACTATTTTTTTGATTAAAAAAAAAACGTGCCGTCTTCCCATCAAAATCAGAGGTAAAAGATCGTGCTGGAACATCGGCAAATCTCCTCCGTGTTGGTATTTGAACACGTTGGCATCACTGAGTATTTTGATTGGCTGATTAGCGATTTGACCTATCAGGTGTTGAGCATTTGCATGCGACCTGAGTCATTTGTGTACGATGAAACTAAAGTGAAATTTACTTGCATTTCAGAACAATTCAACGAAATTACTTTTTTCACTTTATTAATAATCACTACCAAGTAATAATAATTGTGAAACGCAGCATGATCGGATTGCATTACCGTGATTATTTGCTACTAAGCAATGCAGGTGGACCTCTCATAGATTTGTTTATTTTGTGATATCTTCAATTTTTTAATTGAAATGTGCTTTTTCAGCTTAGAGGTTGCTTGTTTAAACAATCTTTCTAACCATTCATGCTGAAATTACAATTTTTTAATCATAACATTTGTTAATATCAAAGTCTACATGAGCTTCACAAACTCATTATCATGCAAAGTACAATTGTCCGTAACAGCTGTGGCTTATATTTGCTTTAACGATATGTTTCACTGATTCATGCTTTGTCTCTCATTTTCAATTGTTTGTTAGTCCCCGTTCGGACGTAGTCCGAAAACGGGGACTTATGGTTTGCCCTGTGTGCGTCCGTGCGTCCGTGCGTCCGTGCGTCCGTGCATCCGTGCGTCCGTGCGTCCGTGATCACCTGTATCTCGAACATGCATGGACCGATTAAGTTCAAACTTCACTCATACATCACACATTATATGGGACATATGCACATGCATTTTTTTCATGATCCGATTAACGATAGCCGAATAGCGGCCATTTTAAGGCCGAAAATGCATCAAAATCGCACATTTTCACCATTCCGGACCCGGATCTCAGTTATGCATGGACAGATTTTTAAATTTGGTACATACATTAAACATAATAGGACCTTGATGCACGTCATTTTTTTTTCGGATCAAGTTCGAAATAGCCGACTGGCGGCCATTTTGTTTTAAAGAATTCAGTTCTGGATCCGTATCCGAGACATGTCTGGATTGATCAAGTTCAAACTTCACACACACAAGGTACATCATGTCACAAATATGTATGTGCATTTGTTTCATGATCTCATTAACGATAGCCAAATGGGGGCCGCTTTAAGGCCGAAAATGCATTGAAATCGCACATTTTCACCATTCCGGACCCGTATCTCAGTTATGCATGGATGGATTTTGTTCAAATTTGGTACATACATTAAACATAATAGGACCTTGATGCACGTCTTTTTTTTTTTCGGATCAAGTTCGAAATGGCCGACTGGCGGCCATTTTGTTAAAGAATTCAGTTCTGGATCCGTATCCAAGACATGTCTGGATTGATCAAGTTCAAACTTCACACACACATGGTACATCATGTCACAAATAGATATGTGCATTTGTTTCATGATCTGCTTAACAATAGCGGAATGATGGCCATTTTAAGGCCGAAAATGCATCAAAATCACGTATTTTCACAATTCC